TTCCTCTCTGCGCTTCACTGGTTGCTCTCTCCTCCTCCTCAGGGTGCCAACCTCGTCGCCTTCCTTAATTGCTCAGGGCTCCCCAGGAGCCGTTAACGCCCTGGTTAAATCAGCCTTGTGCAGTCACTGGAAATGTCTGCAGGCGGGAATTTACCACCCCCTGGACCATCACAACGATAAATATTTCACATGTGCTCATGAGAAACCTCGTCTCCATCCTCACCGAGGACTCGATGACTCTTCCGGGTCCCTTCTGACCCAAGAGATTCTGTGATTCTCTGACCCAGCCAGGGTTGTGAGCAGCGCGAGGTTTTCATCCCCTTCCGAACTGCCGTGGATTTTCGGTTGGCATTTTTTCCTCCCAGCTTTGCCTCTCCTAAGGAGGAACTTACAAGGAGTCCCATGGAGAGGACAAGGGGGAATGGACACAAGTTGTGCTTGGGGAGATTCCAACTGGACACGAGAGGGAAATTTTTCCCCATGAGAACAGTCACCCATGGGAATAATCTCCCCAGGGGAGGGGTTGACTCCGCCACATTGGGCACTTTCAAGCCTCAGCTGGGCAGGGTGCGGGACCATCTTGTCTAGACTGTGCTCTTGCCCAGAAAGGTTGGCCCAGATGATCCTTGAGGTCCCTTCCAACCTGGGATTCTATGATTCCATGATTCTATGATTGAACTTGGTGGGGTCCCACTGGGGAGGGGCAGTTTTGACCTCAAGCGTTCGAGGTGGTGGAGCAGCACAGGCTTTGCAGGGCTGGTAGGAGTGGGTTGTTGGGAGCTGCGGCGACGCAGAAGCTCTACAGAGTGTTTCAGGAACAACAAACAACTAGTTTGGGGGTTTTTATTTCCATTACCATCTCATTTCATGTGCAGTCACCAGGCTCTTCTGCTTCTGTTTTCTTCCAGCAACAAGACAAGACATCATCGAACCTCCACGAAGCCGCTTCGGACTGCGTCTGCTCAGCCCTCTACGCCATCGAGAACGTGGAGACGAACCTTCCCCTGGCCTTGCAGCTTTTCCAGGGCGTCCTCACTCTCGAGAGTGCCTATCACATGGCTGTAGCACGCGAGGACCTTGACAAGTAAGTGAACTTGCAGCCGTGGCTGTGCCCGGGAAGGAAGGAGAGGTACGGTAATTAACTGTCACGGTGTCTGTCTGTGTTTATTTTTGGAATCCGCGGTGTTTGCCTGCGGCGCTCTGATGTCTCTTATGCAAATTTGTCGAAAGAAGACAAGTGAGCAAATGACTTCCTCGCCCTTGGCGTGCCGATTTGTGCTCTGGGCGTGCAAGCTCCGCTCAGGCTTTCCCCCCAGCTCGGCTTGCTGGGTTGCTTGGTCTTCCTTGCAGTGGGCAAAGCGCGAGGGAAATATCCGGAGGCGCAGGCGATGCGTTGCCAGCCTTAAAGTAGAGTGTAGAAGCGACCTCTTGCTCCTACTGCCTCCTCTCCACAAATGTCCGTACCTGGCTCGGCTGTTCCCCACGGAAAGAGGACTGGATGCGCCGGCTGGGGTCCTCAGCCCCTTGTTGTTGACTGGAAGAAACTGTAGCTTTCAAACCTTGGTCGAGCACATTGAAACCAGTGCGTTGGCTGCTACAAAACATTGCTGCTCAGGTTGGAAACGCTCAGATCCTCCAGCCTCGGTTCATCCTAGGCCAGTTCACGCCTGTTCTCTTTTGCCAGCGTTGTTGTAGCTCTTGTTGTAGCTCCCCAGCCGGTGCTTGTCCAGGACGCGTGTGTAGGTAGGAAGCAGCCAGCCTCCCGTTGGCGTGAACAAGCCCAGCTCTTCCAGTCCTTCAAGACAGCTTGCTTCTCCCCGGGTGATCTTCGGCGCTCTCATTCTGAATTTCAGCTTCCTTGAGCACAAAGAGTCTGCGGGGTACGTGCTGCTCCCGGAGGGATCTCACCCTAAGAGGGATCTCGCTCCCGTGCGTTGGCAGCCCTTGGGTGCAGGCAACGCCTTGCCTGGCATCTCTTGCCTTTCTCATGACCTTGCGGTGTCGGCGGTTTGGTCATCCTGTGACCGATGGGAGTCCACCCGCATGTCGTCAGAAGCGGACAACTTCTCCTTGCTCAAATTCAGATGGTTTTTGTTCTTCTTCTGCGCAGACGCTGCGTCTCGGCTTTATCAGTGAACACCATCAGTGCTCGCTCTTCCTTCTTTTACGGGGCTGTCGCTAACGCCCAGAGACAGGAGCAGCCGTGGGATTGACCAGGAGCCTCCCTAGCCCCAAACTGGTGTTTCCCCTCCAGGCCAGCCTGCTAACCGCCCCGCTCGCCAGCCGTTCGCCTCTTCCCCCAGCTGTGCTTTACCCAGTTTAACCAGCTCCTGGCCGTCGCCGCGATCTCCCTTTCTCCTGGTTTAAGACAGTGATGACAATAAGGCAGGTCCAATCTATATTTGGTACATCCTTGTTGCGTTTAGCCCATTCCCCTCCCAACTTCCATGTCTTTGGAAAGTTATGGAGGAACGTGCTCGTGCTAACCAGATCAATTGCCCTGTATTTGCCAAACCCTCTGGTCCCCGTTGCCAAACACAACCACGTTTTGTGACCGTGCCAGGCGTTGGCACTGAGGGGAATCTCAAGACCGGCAGTGAAGCTGTAGGACACGTGTCCGGTGTCCCGTTGTTTTTATTTATTTACTTAGCCAGTCCCCGCTCCTTCCCCCTTGGAGGGAAGCAGAGCCTCGTGCCTAAATAGCCTCCTCGCTCCTCCTGCCCTCTGCCCCTCCGGTTCAGCCACGGCACTGAAAACTGATGCATACGCGCATCGATTTTAGCCGCGCCGCAGGTCTTTTCATCATGCGGGCGTCCTTGGTGTGCAGCAATTCTGCCGCCTGTTTGTTCATAGAATCACGGAATGGTTTGGGTGGGAAGGGACCCCCAGAGGTCACCCAGCCCAACCCCCCTGCAGGAGCAGGGACACCTTGAACCACATCAGGTTGCTCACAGCCCCGGCCAACCTGGCCTGGAATGGTCCCAGGGATGGGGCCTCCACCCCCTCTCTGGGCAACCCCTCCCAGGCTTTCACCACCCTCAGTGTAAAGAATCTCTTCCTTAGATCCAGTCTAAACCTCCCCTGCTTCAGTTTAAAGCCATCCCCCCTTGTCCTGTCCCAGCTGGCCCTACTAAAAAGCTTGTCCCCCCCTTTCCTCTGGGCCCCCTTGAAGCCCTGACCGGCCGCACTCAGCTCTGCCCGCAGCCTTCTCTTCTCCAGGCTGAACACCCCCAACTCTCCCAGCCTGGCCCCAGAGCAGAGGGGCTCCAGCCCTCGGAGCATTTTAGTAGCCCTCTTCTTATTACAGCTGAAAAAAAATAATCCGGTGCTGCTTTTGTCGCTGTCCTTGGCCAGGTCTGGCCCTGGTTTGGCTTCTGGCAATTCTCGCTTGATCTCTGCTCGTCTCGCCTTCCAGAACCCAGCCCGTCTGCTTTCCCGTCCTCCTGACGGCCCTCCGGGTGCTTGGAGGCGCCTGGCTCGCCGCCGAGGCTTTTCCGACGACTTGGGCTCAAGGACTGGGCGAGCATCCCCTTCCCTCGTTTCCACGTAGGGGGCAAAGCCCAGGTAACGTACGCGCCTTCGGCTGCAGGGAATTCCCAGCCTCCGCCACGTGCCGGGAGGCCGCCGCAAGCGCCGTGAGTAGCAAACCCCCCAAGTCTTTTGGGATGGGAAATGACGGCGGCATCTGGTCCCACGCGACCCTTCCGTTCAACGCCAATGGCCTTCGGTTGTCGGGCGTGCCGAAGTTTGCTGTCACGTCCCCTTCGCTCGGTGAGACTGACTCTGCAACCGCACCCCTTCGGTCTGCGACCTCCCGAAAAACCTGCAAGCTTTCACCTTCAGGGAGTTGTCGGGGCCCGCTGCCATCGGTGCCTTCTGTTCCCCGGTCTCTCTCAAAGAGGGCACTCTTCCCCAAAACTGGAGCACCTCCCCTACGAGGAAAGGCTGAGGGAGCTGGGCTTGTTCAGCCTGAAGAAGAGAAGACTGAGAGGGGACCTTAACAACACATGCAAATATCTTAAGGGCGGAAGTCACGAGGATGGAAGCAGTCTGTTTGCAGTGGTGTCCAGCGACAGGCCAAGGGGCAATGGGTGCAAACTGAAACATAAGAGGTTTCAGTTGAATATGAGGAAAAACTTCTTTACTTTGAGGGTGGCAGAGCCCTGGCCCAGGCTGCCCAGGGGGGTTGTGGAGTCTCCTTCTCTGGAGATATTCAAGGCCCGCCTGGATGAAGTCCTGTGTAGAATGCTCTAGGAGAGCCTGCTTGAGCAGGGGGGTGGGACTGGGTGATCTCCTGAGGTCCCTTCCAACCCTTGCCATTCTGGGATTCTGTGATTCTGTGAAAAAGCTTCCAGGTGTTGTATGAAGGCCCCGCTGACGACACCTTGCCGTGTTTGAGCTGCTCCTGGCAGCTTCTGTGAAGGGTGAAGCCTTTGGGGATTAATTAAATCAATTAATCAATCAATAAATCTCCCGCGGGGGACTCGCCTCTGTCTTTAAGACAGGCTTTAGGGCACGTTTGCAGCACACCCCTGGATGCGCCTTGCTTTAGGATGTCCTAAACCTCTCCAGAACAGGAAGACTAAAAGCAAAGCCCAGGACTAACGGCTTATCCTGGACCTCTCCCCCAAATCCCCTGATTTGAGAGCGATTTATTGGCGAGCAGCAGTTCGACCCCGTGCTGGCTCCGGGATGTTGGGCTCTTCTCTCAGCTCCCGCAGCCTTAAAGCAGAGCGGCTCGACTCGGCCGCTCAGTTGGTTTTCCCTTAAGAGCAGCTTTTGGATGCAGCCCTGCCCCCTGTGTAGGCGATGGGACACCCTGGGTTGATTTTTAGAGCGGGTTTGTGTATTTGTCATCTGAAAGGTGGCACCTTCGGGGCGCTGAATTATTATTATGTGCTGCCATCCAGCGGGACCTGGCCAGGCTGGAGAGTTGGGCGGGGAGGAACCTGATGAAATTCAACACGGGCAAGTGTGGGGTGCTGCCCCTGGGGAGGTGGAACCCCAGGCACCAGGACAGGCTGGGGGTGACCTGCTGGGAAGCAGCTCTGCCCAGAGGGACCTGGGGGTCCTGGGGGACGACAAGGTGGCCATGAGCCAGCAGGGTGCCCTGGTGGCCAAGAAGGCCAA